CAACATCATTACTGGTGTCTCACATGGCCTTAGTACCAAGAAAGACAGGCAGAATTTCCAGTCTACCTTTGGAAGCCACACAGGGTCTCCTGCATCTTTGCCTCCTTCAAAGCACATAAAATAAGACAAAAAGAGCCCCAAGAATGGGTCATGACTCTGCTTGCCTAGCTCTGTTGACAAAACAGAGTCTCTGTGCCCCTGGGGTCAAGAAGTAACATGACCCCTGGAGCTGCCTGTTGATACCCTCTAGGCAAAGCAGCTCCTCTCCTTTTTTGTGCTCCTATCACATAATATAGCTCTGACCATCCATAGGAAATTACCTCTATGGCACCTGGCCTTCAGATACTTTGACTTATTAGACCATCCACTGCTCCATCGTATCAGTATCTTTTCCCAGTATAGAAAATTGGCTTTTGATCATCACCAAGGATGCCTGGCTATGAAGATGCTGTTAATGAGTTCTTACTGAGCAGTGACATCTATTAATTATTCTTAAAACTGATGTGGGCTCTACAGCAGGAACCTACCACAGCAGTCTATTCCTATTCATGCCTGATTCCTGGAAACACAAAAGAACATTCCCTTCGTTCCTCTTCTTTACTGTTTGGGAGGGGGGGGGGGGTGCTTATTTTTTTGATTGTTTGATTTTGTTTGGCTGGGTTTCCTATTGTTGTTTTTCCTTCTTTTTTTTTTTTTTTTTTCTTTACCCTTTGTTTGCTTTGGGTTTGGCTATTTTTATTTTGTTTTCATTTAAAAATTGTTATTGATTCTGTTACAGTATGAACACTAATGGATTTGGTTTTGCAGCACACTGCTTCTTGCAGATAAACTATGCACAGCAATTGTATAGTGGCATATTACACATACACAAGAGTATATTGCTTTTGTTATATCTTTCTATCTGGCAGGTATTCCTACAGGTACTTCTCTATGGACTGTGGATGGTAAGAGCTAAGGTTAACCACAAGAATAAAAAAATGTCATTCTCTAGAGCATTCCTGTGTCCTGGGTTGTCTAGGGCACAGGAATGATCACATCTGAATACCAGATATAAAGGTCGAGTCGATGATTCTTTGAAGGTGAATTTCTTCTCAACTGGTCTCTCTGTTCTTCAGGTCAGATGAAGAAAACTGCAGGTATGATATGTGTACACTACTTCCTGATAAGTACATGTAGAATGAAGAAAAAGGAAATCACTACACTCAGTTCTACCTGGAGAAGTTCAAGAAAAATTCAACCAGTTAACAACAACAATAAATAAATAAATAAATACATAATAAAGTTTTTTTGTTTTGTTTTTTCCCCAAAAACAAACATAGTGGCCATTAAATCTCCAGTAATCTCCCACCCCCATTCACACACACTCCAAGTTAAGGGTATTTTTTTTTTCTCTACATGACATTTTAAGGACAGGCTGCCAAGCCCATCTGTCCCCTCATTTGCAGTAACTCTTGTTTGCATGAGCTTTCCACATGCTGTTCAATTTTCTGGTAGAGAACAGTTTGTTTTCTTTCTGCAATGGGTTTCCTTTCTGAGAATATTCTGCTCTCCCACCACCTGGGGAGCTGCAGCCTTCATGGAAACTTATGGGTAATCAGTATTTCTGAAAACTAACTAATATACTCAAACACACGGTAACTCACAAAGTCATATCTAGCATAATGCAAGTGATCATCTTAAAATAGAAGCACCCAAAGTCAAAATACTGTTTTGGCCTATGATTTTCTGCATCATTACTGCAGTTTTGTCAACTGCCCAATGAATTCTACCACCACATTTGCAAACAATACTTGCACTACACATGAACTGAAACCAAGGCCTTAATCCCTAAAAAGCTATGTAACAGATATGGCTATTCAAATAGTACCGATGATACCACAACCACAAGAGGTTGAGACATTGGACTTCCAAATAGTGCCTTGAGTCATGCTGCTGCACAATTCCTGTTTTAATAACTTTGTTTTTAAATCTTCTGCTACAACAAAATTAAGATATTTTAATTGCACCAAAAGGAAAAACAAAAACATGAAGCAAACAAACAAAAAAAAAGAAAACTAATGTTATCACTACACTATCAGAAGAGCTGGCCTATAACTTTTTACCTAAACCGCAGGAGCAAAAATTCACACATCATATTAGAAAGCCACTTTAACTCCCATAGAGGAAAATGAATCCCTCTTAGAAATAGCAACACCTGAAAAACCTCCTTTAGAATAACAAGTGGAATGCACTTTTATAATCAGATTTTGTAATATCTCATCCTTGTCTTCAGTGTAATGGAATATGCTCCATCTTTTTAGGACATAAAATATCATCTAACTACCACAGATGACTAGATTCTCACAATTCATTTCCTTTGATCAGATCTATTAATAATCTGTTCTGTATGTGGGAAAACCCACTGACAGAATTTCAGGAAATAATTCAGATTTATTATTTTCTGTCTCAATCCTTTTCTTCTTTTATGATTTGTCCTTTTAATTTTTTTTTTTTCATTTTTATGTGGATATTATAAAATGAAAGTCAAAGAAGTGCTTTATTATACTAAAATTGTGCATGTCAAGTTTCAACCAAGAAGGAATTCCTATAGGCAATTTAACTGCATATTCAATCTTTTATTTTTCAGCATGCTTATCGTAGTTTTTTGGAGGAGGGGAAGGGGTGTTTTAATATCAAGAACATTTATCAAAATAAAAGGGAATTTGTTTCAGAAAGTAAATTGCACTACACAGACTTCACCATAGTAGAACCTCCAGATACTTCACGTTCATGAGCTAACATTGAGTAATTCACTTGTGGATTAGAGTGTAATTTTCTTCATTATTACATAAATTTCTACTTCACTAATTACAGAAAAAAAAAAAAAAAGCAGAGTACTCTGCTTTACCCACTTAATGGCATTTTTTCTATAGCACACTAGAGATGTGTCTTTACAACATATGCATTTATGTCTTCTTTATAGAGTACCGAATGCACTTTGTCCATCTTCAACTTGATAGTTTCTTGGCAGAACCTTCCACACCTCTCTTTCTCTGTCTCCTTCCCATCCAGTATTTCACACTTAATGATGTTGTTTCCTCATTGCTAGTCACACAAGGGTAAATTGCATTGGTTGTTACTTTAGGTTTCCTTGATACTCTGAAAGTTAGGTTTTTATCTGTCAGGCTAAGTTGAGAAGTCTGCCATTTGGGAAACAGCTACTTTCAGGCTTGCATTCTTCAACATTTTACACTAAACACCATAAAAACCTGAAATAAATTTTAGTTTCTAGGCTAAAAACTATTTTCCTTTGTCTTCTTAAAGTATGAAAATGACAGCTGCTTTCCCATATCCTAGCCACTGAACATATGGAAAGGACAAGCAGGCTTAAATCATATCAAATGAGATTCAGGTCTGACCTGTAGAAGAAAGCCTTTCTTATTCTACAAATAGTGAAGCACTGAAAGATGCCACCTACAGAAAATAAAGTTCTCGCATTAGGAGGTGACAAACACCAATAATGGAAGATTTTGAGGGAGGGGTTATATCTTTTATTATACTAAGTGATATAATTGTAAAAACTGGCCAACTCTTGAGGCACATTAGTCCTTCTTCAGATATAACAGCATGACAAACATAAAACTAAGCAGAGGATGAGACATCACTCTGTGTAAACTAATAGACTAGATAAACTTAGGAAGTAAATTCCATCAATGAAAGACTGAAGGTGTAGCAAAGATTGTATATGAGGAAAATTACAGACAATCATGAAAAAAATATCTTGATTAAGCATTCAATTTTATTTATTCATGTTACAAAATTTATTCTTTATATTTTTTGCAGTTATTTTCTGTAAATCATCATCAAAGAATCAGGACAGAAAGGTCGAAGTTGGAGTGAATATTTTTGAAACCCTATTTATGCAAATAGCTACTCATTTGTTCTTTATCAATTGCCCATGTGAAAGTGTTCTGCTGCATAGAGGTTGTCCATTTTCACTCATACTTTCCAAAGAAGTGGTGAATGAAATATATCACAAAAAAAATATTCTTGTGTATGGCTGAAACAATTAACCTTAGAGCAGAAATTTTACTGCAATGTCATTCTTACAAGGCTGTTACATTTAACATTTGTTGATCTGCAGAAAATTCATTTCTAGTGATGTATTTGCTTGGGTTGAGTGGTTGGAAGTGGGAGAGGGAATCCAGGGTAATGTTTTTTTAAGCCTCATTTTCTTCTACATAAATTGTAATTGCCAGTGGCTTCTAACAGAGATTTCAGCATCAGGTCATGTGCAACGGTTGCTTGGAAGTTTTGTGATACGTTCTTCCTTGCACCCAAGTGATGGGAAGTTGGCTTATTCACAAATATGACTTAACTGTCTGGAAAAATGCCTTTGGTGTAAGTCCTCTATGAGTTTCTAAGGCAGATGGCAAGATCAGTTTTTCTTGGATAGGTGTGGCAAAAAAACAGACTGCCAGATACAATCAACAACTTTGGGGTGTTCAAGATGGTTTCTGATTTTGTGCTGAAAAGTGTTTGGGTCAATAGGATTTTGCATATAGTAGATTTTAAATTCCAAATTTTATGATGTTCATGGTTCTGAGAAAGTTGCTGTGGGCGATACTCCTGAGACAGTTTTATGTCAGTCAGTATTAATGAGATACTACAAAAACAATGAAAGATCCCTATCCAGGTAAGTAAGGTGGTAGAGACTATCTATCATGGCTACAGTAGTGTTTTAGTGATACAAGTATCTATAAAGTCTTCCTAATATTATTCCCAAATACCAATTAATTAAAGAACTTAACTCTTGATGACCTTAACTATGCCCAGAACCTTAGAGAAAAAAAAAAAAAAAAGTTGTTTAAGCAGGACTTAACAGCCAAGAGCTTGGACTAGATGTTCTAACAAGGTCTGTCCCTGAATCATGCTTCATAGTTCAGTGTTTCACACACATAGGAAAAACGTAAAGGGAAATTCTCCATACTTTTATTAAAAATGAAAATATTCAGTATTACCTGTATCCATATGCAACACCTGCAACAATATTCTCGCCACTTCACAGGAACTAAAACATCTTCTATCAATGAAGCTGAAAATCAAAGAAGTTGAGAAATAGTAATGTAGTGTTCATATAATTGGAACTTCTAAAAAGTTTTTAAAATACTGAATACTGTTAATTGTTTTCCAGACCAACAAAACTAACATAGAAAAAGAAATAATCTTAAGAATGCACAATATTTCACCCTAGACTCCAGGTAACAATAAAGCTTGTCTATGTCTAAAATAGATTTACTTAGTCATCTTTCCCACTTCATTTTCTGTTATTTGAATTTGTTATATTTACTATCTCCAGGTGAAAACTAGGTATCATCCACTGCACTAGAAGTGAAGAAAATCATTTACTATGAAGATCTGAGAACAGATTTCATAAGGTTTTCTGGCATAAATCTAGCAGACAGCAATACAAAAGGTGATACCATGCTGATGACGATCAGGGCTTTCTTGATAGATTCTCTTTAGAAATCAAAACTCAGATGGGGAAGGAACACAAGAGAGCTAAAGAGCATTGAATTTCATTGCCACTTAATGACAAAGATGCACAGTTATGTTCTTGCCTAGTTTTAGGATACAAGCTCTCTGTACTGCATAATATGTCTGCTTGGAAGGAAAGGAGCACAGGCACCTTCCTCTAACAAAAAGGACAGTGCCATGCCTCGCAAAGCAATCAAATAGCATGGAGGGGCAATGCACTGTACAGCAGTGTGATAGGAAATCTGTCAAGTTTTAGGTATGAGACTTACAGCCTTTGTCACATAGTTAGTTTATATGCTGTAAGTAGATTGTGAGTCATGATGTTCAGGGTGAATACTTCTCCCTTCTAGGGCACAAATGAGCAGACATTTCCATGGATGCCATTTTGGAACCACATAATCTTCAGATAAATACACATGAAAGGAACTGGTCTGCTGCATGAGGTGGACTAACAACTCATGCAGTCTAACTGGGCTAAATGTACTGTTTGCATATTCGCAAAATGCATCTTCAGCCTATAACATGGGCATAAGTGGGTCTTTGATACTAAACTGTGAGGAGCTGTTGACTACAAGTGGCCCTGTAGAGGTATCTAGGTACATCAGAGCACTAGGTCATCAGCAATGGCACGGGGTTCAACAAATGGAAATGTTGAGTTCTGCCCCTGGGACAGAGCAATGCTGGACCCAGGCACAGGCTAGGAGCCAGGTGGCTGGGGAGCAGCTCTGCAGAAAGGGAGTGCTGGTTAGCAGCAGGCTCAGCATGAGCCAGCAGTGTGCCCTGGTAGACAGAGGGCAAAACACTTTTTGGGGTGCATTACACACAGCACAGCCAGTCAGTCAAAAGAGGCAATTCTGCAGCATTCAGTGTTGGTGAGGCCTCACCTCGAATACTGTGTGCAATTCTGGGCTCCACAACACAGAAGGGATGTTGAGGTCCTTGAAAGTCTCCAGAGGAGGGCAGCACAGCTGGCGGCAGGACTGGAAGGCATGTGCTGTGAGGGGATGCTGAGGACTTTTGGGCTGCTCAGCCTGGAGAAGAGGAGGCCCAGAGGCAACCTCACTGTTCTCCGCAGCCTCCTGAGGAGGGGAAGCACAGAGGGAGGCGCCGGCCTCCGCTCCTGCAACCCGATGGCCAGGCACGGGCACGGCACAGAGCTGCGCTGGGGAGTTCAGGCTGGGCATCGGGAAATGTTTCTGTGCTGTGAGGGTGGTCACACACTGAAACAGGCTTCCTGGGGAGCTGGGTGCTGCCCCGTGCCCATCAGTGCTCAAGAGGCATTGGAACAATGCCCTCAACAATATACTTTAACTTCTGGTTAGTCCTGATGTGCTCAGGCAGCTGGACTCAATGGTCTCTGAAGGTCCCTTCCAACTGAACTATTCTAATAACAAATTCTGTATCAGACAAAAAAAATATATAATAAATAATTACGGGCAAACTAGTCACCATTTACAGAAAAGGTGTGGGCAGAGACTTGTGATGTGTCAAGAACTGAATGTCTCTCTCTATCTGAGGGAGTAATCTAATCTCCTTTGATACTATTGAGAGAAGAATGTCTCAAATACAATTCATTTCAGCCCATGATCAATATCTAATGTAGATCAACATGAATCCTGTTCCCAAACTACCTGTTTGTTTTCACTGAAAATAAAGAGAGCTTGGAGTGAACAAGCTCAGGGCAGAGTTTAACACTATAGATGGTCAAAGCTAGGTAAGATGAATCCCACAAAACGTAAGCTCTGGAAGATGATCTGAAACATTAACTGGTCATAGTTTATTTACAAAGGTACAAAGTCAAAGAAGAAATTCAAGCACAAAACATACCACCAGGACCAGATGACCTCCAAAAGTATCTTCCAACCTAAACCAATCTGTGATTCTGTGGATTTTATCCACCTTAAAGAACTCAGATTACATTCAATTTATGGTGGTATTTAGGATGCTAAATAATCATAATTTAGTAGAATGTGTGCAGATACATCACAGTGGCACTTTCTGTGATAGTATGATATAACTATTTCTGCTGATGTCAGTAAAGAAGTTCTGTTCAAATATTTGAAAAGATATCATACAACTTTAAAAATAAATAAATAAATAAATAAAAGCACTGTGAAGACTTTCTGAAGGACACGTAAGCTAAACTTGAGAACCTGCAATCCAGAAAATCCTACTCTGAGAAAAGTCACATACTATTAGAGAGTAGAGAGTCTGTAGAGAGTCTGAAAGTCTCTATCTCCTCCTATCTCTGGGAGTGCCAGTGAGGTCAACAGACACTTCTGTCCTAATTAAGGGTAATACTCATGGCTCTGCAAATACAGCTATAATTTCAACTTTGCCTTTAGCAACATTATTACACTGTCTTTTCTTAACAGTAGAGAATAAAGCAGAGAAAAGATCTCTAAAAGGAGCTGGGGATCTTCAGCAAAGCTCCTTCATTAGTATGAAGGAGCTAATGCATGAACCCTTCAGGGAGCAGCTAACCGATACCTGCTGATTCATTCTGACAAATGCTATCAATTCATTGCACATTTTCAAGGAAAGTGATGTAGGAGTAGCTTCAGGCAAGCAGGAGTAGTGAAAAGTCCTATATTGAATGGAGCCAGGATGAGCTGCTGTCTTAAGCAATCTATTCTTGAATATTCATGTTTCATAGTTCCCTGTCCTACACATCCACCATGTTGGCAAGTATTAACTCTGCTCTTCATGTGACCCAGTGACTCTATCCCAGCAGTGCTCTAGATAGTCAATCATCCTGTTTGATAATATGCCAAAGTATTAAATAAACATAATGATGTAACTTCTGTCTAAAAGCTAAAGCATGGGGAATATCTCTCCAGGGATAGAAAAAACTCTCTAAGGAAAGCCTGAGGGAACTTCAAGCTCTAAGAACAAAACTGGCTATAGCTATTAGCTTTTAGAAGAAAACTGTAGCTTTCTTGTATATAAAACATAGACTTTCTCCTAAGAGTAGCACAGAAAGAGAATGTAACTTCTGTCAGGGAACGTGGAATGATACAACCAGCAACAACTTACCTTGTGCATTCCATGCCTTGAGGATTAAATAGATAAATATTAGCATAAAAATATAGATATGTTTGGTAGTGTGCAATGAGTTTTACTTACCACATCTCATTTCCTCTCAACTCTCATTTGTTCCTTCTCTTTCCTTCACTGTAGAAGAGAAATGTTTGTAACCATAGTCAGGACTCATTTGGAAGTCCTGCTCAATGTCCTACTTCACAGACTATATATATTTATGTATGTGTGTGTATATATATATATATGTATATATATATAATACTACTAATAAAGCATGCATGTGTGTGTATATATATATGTGTATATATATATATATAATAATAATAAAGCTCATCACACTTGGACACAGTGTTGATGCTATTGGTGTGCTCAAAGGATTACAGCATATTTAGGAAGAATACCACAAATGATTCAGGCTGTTTTAGTCAAAGCCTATTCCAAAACATCAGTTCATAAAGGACAGGAATAAACTTCAGCCCCTGCTGTGACAGCCAAGAGGTGTAGATAGAACTTGCACAGCAAATAGCTCTACAGCAGCATTATAGCTGTGGCAACACAGGACACAGCACAGCTCACTGAGCAGCTACCTGGCACATATCCCACTCTAAACTGTAGTTAGCTACCAGTACCTGAGCCTCTATGTTCAAAACTAGCACAACTGTGTTTATTGGATTTCAGCTCACAACTCTGCCTACAGTACACCTGAAGGATTATACTTTTGTAACACCAAAGGAATGGGAGGAAACCTATGATATTTAAACACTAGCAATACCATGAAGACTATGTAGTATTTAATAATACAACAGCAGGGGAGATCCTCTCGGTTACACAGTAGGATGTGACATCATTTTTAAAGGTCTGATGATTTTTATGCCTGATTCAATGGATAATGATTCTGTGATACCCTTTTCCATGACTGAAATACCATTACATGGTTATTCTTGTGAAACATGGGAACATATTTTAACCATTTTTTAATGCTTAAAAATGTTGATATAGTGTAGTTTCCAGTCCAAATATATTATCCTGTAATTCAACTCTGGACCTGCATACCAGAATGTTGAAGTATTTTCATTGCTAATCTGACAGTGAATATACTTCAACTAAGTGATTTACCTATACATATTACAAATTATTAGTTGTCAATTAGATGCACTGGTAATACAGGTAATTATATATTTCAAGTAACAGACCTGTACTTTGACAGGCATTTGCAGACTAATTTGCACTTCTGGCAGGCTTCTAGAAATAGAGTGTTCAAAGTAGCAGTAACAAAGTAGTTTTGATCCAGTTCTTTTTCATATTCTTCTTTTACCCCATGACTTTTTTATTCATATATTTATGTTTAATGTTAAGAGGGATTTTTTAGACTTTCAGAAATAGTGAGACTGTTCTTTGCAGAGGTTTCTGTAAAGTTTCTGCTTGTCTTAAGAATAAAGCAAAATGATTAAAAAAATTCTCATCTTCATTAATTTGTTTTTGAGCATAACAATTCATCCTATTCCAAAGGCCTGG